AGTCTATGTTTAATTAATTGCTTAATTAATGTTTATTTTGGGGGTGGGTGGGCTGGATTTGTGATTTCATCTAAAAAGGGACCTCTCAGTGAAGAAATTTTCCTGCCACCACAGATAGTACCATCTCTTCAATTCATGATCTTAGTTGCCTGAGGCACTGAGAGGTAAAATACCTTGCCAGCAGCCACCCAGCCATGTTTGTTGGAGGTAGAACTTGAATCCAGGTCTTCCTAACTCCAAGGTTACCTCTTCACTACACCAGGTTGTCTCTCATTGAATAAGATTGAATTGAATTCCTACTGCCACCATCCTAGTATAAGCACATCCACTTGGACTATTAAAGTAGCTTCCTAATAGATGACCTTGACTATTTTGTCTCTTCTAATCAATATTGGTTATTTTTGGCAAAATAATCTTTCAAAGGCAAGGAGGCAATAGACAGAATATTGTTTTGGGAGAAACACAAGCTGGCTAGTTTAGCTTGAACATGCACGAAAGGGAGGGAGTAGTAGTATGTAATCAGCCTGGACAGATAGGCTGGCGCCAGATTGTGACGAGTTTGAAATGCCAGAGGAGTTTGTATCATAACCAAAAGGCAAGGGGAGCCCTCAAGCATCTTAAGTAAAGAAAGTGATATAGTCTTACCTGTACTCTAGAAATATTAATTGGGCAGCTGTTGGAAAATGGTTTGGAAAAGGGAGATAAAGGATATAGAGAGACCAATTAGGAAGTTATAGCAAAAATTCAAGCAAGAGGTGATGAGGGCTTTGATCATGGTGCTAGGAAGACTGGAACTGTTGCTCCAAGACATAAAGGTCCATATGTTATCTAAACTATGAATTCCTTCCTTCACTCCCCTCCTTTCCCAAGCGTTAGCAAAATGCTCTGCAAACTGTGGTAATTTGATGAATTATTTTTTTTTGGATTTATTATCTTATCTAGTAAGAAGGGTTAGTCAACTGTGTAGAAAGCTACTGCGCAGTTAAGATAGATATTTAAGATAGATAACAGTGAAAAAAGATAATTGGATTTAACAGTTAAAGGGTCATTGGTAATCATTGAGAGAACAGTGTGTTTACGCCTCTGTTTTTATGAACATGACAACTGGTTTGAGTGGATGTTTGTGTTTGTAATCACTGAAGCTGTAGTAATAAGCTGGACATAAAGTGGGTTGTGTCTTCATCTGTAAAATGGAGCTAATGCTTATACTGCCTACCTCATAGACTTGTAAGGAAAGCGCTATGTGAACCTGAAAGTGCTATTTAAATAGAATAGAGCTGTGTGAAAGTGGAATGGGCAGGAAGGGGAGGTTGTGGGTTCCCCTTTGTTGGAGGTCTTCAGTTGGAGGCTAGATAAGGGATTGTTGTTGAGAGAATCCTGTTCAGTTAATGGTTAAACTAAGTGATTTGATGATTCTCTGGGAACTACTTCTCTTGAGGTAATGTGGCCTAGCACAGTACACATCCTGTCGAATATGAAACCAGCAAGATCATTATTTCAATGAGAGCAGGATGGTGTCCGTATGTGTACTAGAAGAGTCTGGTAAACATTTTTGTGTGAGCCTGAGAATTCTTACATATATAGTAGGTTTGAGTGGACATCCGTGAGTGTGTGTCTGAATATGTGCCAACCAGAGTGAGATGTCTGTGGAGTTGTTTGAAAGCAATGGCAGAGTAGTCACCTATGGGTGTGTGCATACATGTATGTATAAGGTAATCATGCTGCCCATGGAAGATATATATGTCCACAGGTTACCTATGTGAAGCTTAGGGTAGACAGATATAGATATCGCTAGATTCTTTCCAACTCCTCTCTAAGGGAGACTGCAGACTGAAATTCCTACCGTGAGGGGAGCAAGACAAGGGACTTGAGGCTGCCTGCTTTGTTCTCCACTCTCCAAGAGAGGGGTAGCAGACTCGAACTATGTCTGTTTGCCCTCCTTAAATGTTGCTTGTCTAAGTATATGATTTTAGGTTTAAAACAAAAACTACTTTCCTGATAGCTTTTAAGTGAGGAGGGTTACCCCAAACTTATACCCACAGACTTAACTCCTTCCTACTAAATCCTAGTTACACAAAAACCATCACAAATACTGAATAGTGACTAAACCTATTTATTGAAATATATAGGAAACAGCATTCAGAGAAGTTATACAACTTAGAATATACTAGAAGATATGTAGAGTGAATGACCTCTTTAGCTTGGCGTGAGATGAGATCTCAGCTCAACCAAGAGAGAGGTCCTGATCTCACCCAAAGGGAAAATTCCTGAAGTGTCTGAGGAGGTAAGTTGGTAATCATGGAAATATTAAGAAGATGGCTGTCATTTCCAAAGTCTTTCTTTCTCTCCATGTCTCTCCCCGAAGAAAGTCTAGAACCAAGCATATCTTCTCAAAGAAGGAAAAAGAGTGTTTCTTCCCAGTTTTCACATCAGCTCTTCCCTTTACATATTACTTTACACTTAGCATTCTCTCCAGCAGTTTGGAGTCACTCATCTACAGGATGTGAAGCATCCCAAGGTTGGCTTGTGTGCCTTGTGTGAATTTGTGTTTGTGTGTATGCTGGAGCTGACTTGAATGGCTGTGTATATGTGATGGGCATACATGGAACAGGCTCATGTTTACATCAGGGTGTGTTTTGTGTGCACCAGATGAGCCTCAGGTACGAGGAGGCACAGCAAACAGTACAACTGGGCCAATAGAGGAAGAGGATGAAGAGGAATTAGCTCCTGTTTTTATTTCCTTGGCATTCCGGGCCCAATCTAATGAAGCTGTCAGAATCTTTTGTGGTCCTGAGACAGAGATGGTGCGTTCAAGGCAGGCTGACCCCAGTGCTGGTCCTCTTGTGGTGCTTGGGCACAGAATAAGAGCCCAGTATGCCCCACCTAGCCGAATCCAGCTGCAGAATGATTTGGACACTAACGATAAAATCCAAAAGGCTTTGGCTATCCAGCAAGCATTAGTAGAGGTAGGGGGTAAGAGATCTCCCCTCTTCATTCTTGCTCCTTCCCTAACCTCCCCTTCTCCATTCTAACTCTGTTTTACCCAGCTCCCTTTTACTTCTCTTTCTTGTTTTCCTGAGTACCATACCTGTGGTCTGACTATCTTTTCTCCCTTCTGAATATCACTGGCACAGACCTTCTTCTTAACATTCAATGACCTCTTCCCCTTCTTCACTGGCACTATCCTTTACCTGTCCTAGACTATTTCCACTTGGCCCCACCCATACTGCCTCCTGACTCCTTTATCTGCATGGTCCCACTACTCCTATTCCCCTTTCTGTAGTGGTAGTGCATTGGGCACAGAAGTGACTGTGTCCCACAACCTCCCATTGCTTGCATTGTGTCCAGGATATGTTGCTGGAAGTGAATAAGTTCTGTCAGGATCACAGATGGCTCAGGAGCATCCATCAGTTTCTGAAGAAGTGGGGACCCCAGAAGTTGAAGCTCATGCAGAGCTGGCCTGCTGCAAGATATACGAAGCTCATCACTGAGCTGGAATCCTGGCAGAGCCAAGTGAGTGAGGTGCCCACCATGTTGCTCACTGAAAATCTCCTACTGCATATCAATTGTAACTGTGTTCAGACAGACATCGGTGAGTTTTCTTCCTCCCTTGTTTCTCTACTGTATTATTACCTCATCTTTTCTCTTTTTACCTCTTCCCTTCCCTGGCCTCTTTGCCCTACCTCATTCTTCTCCAGTCTTTTCCTCCTTTCCTTTTCCCTTCTAACCTCCTTCTCCTCCCTACCTTCTTCACTTACGTTTCACTCCCTTCCTCTTTTCACTCTTGATCTCTTCTACTGTTCCCTCTCCTCTATCTCTATCCTTCTCCCCAGTCTCCTCCCTATTGCCACCTAACCTACTTGGACTATCAGTAGCACTCTATCTTTTTCCTTTCTTTGTCCCCACTACGCACTGTACACCACAAATCCAATTCAATTCAATAACCTTTTTAAAAGCTCCTACTATTTGTGAGGAACCATGTTAGATATGAGGAATATAGAACACACTAACAGGCCTATAACCTCAAGAAACTTATATTTTATTGGTGGGAAATACCATGTACATAGAGAAGAGCAATAATTATTGGTGGTGGTAGTGGATTAGAAGTAGATGTCTTTCTTGTAAATTCTCACTCCAGGTAAATTGAAAAGTATTTGGTGTGCAGGGTGGGGAAGAAGGCTCTCATGTAAGCATTAGCAAAGAATCCAAAAAAGGGACTTGTAGTGGTAATGCAGCACACCCACATTAGCCGATCTGGCTTGCATTTGGCTTGATTCAAGGGACTTATCTTTGATATGACTATGGGCTTTTGATTCATCTTATAATATTAATCCCTTTCTGTTTGTAATCCCATAAACCAAGTTGAGGTGACTTGAGGATATATCATCATAAAATATCTCCTAATTATTTGTTATCCCCTCAAGGGAAATCATTATTTCCGCCACCTCCTATCTCACTGAAGCTGAATGAGTCTCTCATTTTCTATCCAAACTCATTTTCTACCCCAAATCTCCTAACTGCCATCTGCATTGCTAACATTAACCACGCAACAAGGATTATCGGCAATAATACTAAGTGGCTACCAGTTTTCTTTGATAATTATAATAATAATAATAATAATAAAAATAACTAGTATTTATATAGAGCTTTAAAGTTTGCAAAGCACTACAAATTTTTCATTTGATCCTCACAACAACCCTGGGAGGTAGGTACTATTAATATCCCCATTTTACAGATCAGGAAACTGTGGCAGATAGAGGTAAAGTGACTTGCTCAAGATTACATAGCTAGGAAGTGTGTGAGTCTGGATTTGAACTCAGGTCTTTCTGACTCCAAATCTCAGCAGTCTGTCTACTGCACCACCTAGCTATCTCTTTCTAAAGGATAGTATGTAATAGCAATGAAAGAACAATGAGCATAGGGGTGGGGGGAGATCAAGGTGAAATCTTACCAATCATCCCTTTCAATAAGGCAGTGTCTCTGTGCAAGAGCAAACATCAGTAGTCACAAAAGTAGTAGCAGGGGCCTGTTAGAGTCTTTGCAGGGGAGAGCAAAGAAACCCAAACCTTCAGATCCAGCTTAGTGCTTTACCTTAGAATGTCCGGGAAAATGGAGAACAGAAAATTGAAAATAAGATAGAAGAGGCTGTTGCACCATTGAGAGAGAAAATCAGAGACTTGGAAAAAAACTTTACCCAGAAGTACCCACCAGTGAAATTTTTATCAGAAAAGGATCGAAAAAGAATTTTGAAAAAGAAACGTGGAACATTAGATCGGCCATGAAAACTTTGAACTAATTAACCATGATGTTATAGCCCCTCTACATTGAAGTGGACCAGATTTATCATCTAGCATCTCCTGCTTCTCCTCCAAACTACATGTACAATCCTGTCAAGACATTGAAGACCAACACAATTGGGACACAAAATATGTTGGAGTTGGCAAAACATGTTGGAGCATGTCTTCTTCTGACCTCCACCTCGGAAGTATATGGAGATCCAGAAGTCCATGAAGGTTACTGGGGCCATGTAAATCCAATAGGACCTAGAGCCTGTTATGATGAAGGAAAGCGTGTGATGGAGACCATGTGTTATGCCTACATGAAGCAGAAAGGGGTTGAAGTGCGAGTTGTTGGAATATTCAATACTTTTGGGCCACTGATGCATATGAATGACAGCCGAGTTGTCAATAACTTCATTTTGCAAGCTCTCCAAGGGGAGGCTCTCATAGTATACGGTTCTAAGTCTCAGACTCAAGCATTCCAGTATGTCAGTGACCTAGTAAATGGACTTGTGGCCTTAATGAATAGCAAGGTTAATGGCCCTGTCAACTTGGGGAACCCAGAAGAACACACAATTCTAGAATTTGCTCAGTTAATTAAAAACCTTGTTGGTAGTGGTAGTGAAATTTCACTTTCTCGCAGAAGCCCAGGATGACCCACAGAGAAGAGAGCCAGCTATCCAAAAGGCCAAGCTAGTGCTGGAGTGGGAGCCTGTGGTCCCTTTGGAAGAAGGCTTAAATAAGGTAACTCGCTACTTCCGTAAAGAACTTGAGTACCAAGCATATAATCAATACATACCCAAACTGAAACCCACAAGGATAAAAAAGGCTGAACACAACATAATTGAAGGAAGGATTTGCTTCTCTGGACAAGAGAATTCCCTCTCTTACATTTGACAGGATGTAATTTTTTTTCCTTTTCCTTTTTTTTTTTTTTAAAGAAATACTTAAACAGGTGTCATGAAGAACAAACTTGAATTTCATTCTGAAGCTTGCTTTAAGGAAATGGATGTGCCTAAACCCTCCCCCAACACACACACACACACACACACACACACACACACACACACACAAAACTGCAAATCTTGCCTTGAACTTTTTGAAATCTGTCTTTTTATATACAAATAGAATAGAAACATTTTTGAGTATTTTCAAGTTTTTTATCTTGCTGTGAGATCCTTTGTTGTTGACTGTCACTGACAGTTTTATTTACTGGTTTCTTTGTGAAGCTGAAAAGGAAGATAAATGGAATGGAAAATGCCAATTTTATTTATAAAATATGGGTCCCATAGTTATACTATGCATAAGAAATGAAGTTTAGCAGGATAGTCAGGCAAGTAAAATGCTGAGATTGAGTCTGCAGGAGTATATATGAGAATTCTGTTTGAAACCTTTATGTTTCTTTGGATTCAGAAAATTTTCAAAGTTTTAGTTTTAGTTGCTCACTTGAATTGGAGATATTTTCATTGATTATCATGGATAAGGATATTTTAAGTCACTATTGTGTTGTGCTGTGTGCTCTGGGAAGAATGAAAGTTATTGTATTATTGGTTGACAGTAGTTGAATATGCTATTTTAATAAAATATTATAACTTAAAACTAAAAAATAATACTAAACACATGAAGGATCTCAGAGGAGTCAATGAACAGATAAAGAGCTTACATAGAGCACTCAACTAGTCTGTCAGCTCTTCCCTATATCTAATAGGAGCCAAACTTAGGGTTTCTAATGGAGTAGGACCCTGCTTTTCCAGCTCCTGAAGTTCCTGTCTCCCACAGGATGATAAACAGCCCTTTCCAGACTCATACTGCTACCTTGTGGTTTAGGTTCCCCATCCCCCTGTCTGATCAGTGTGGTATCAATTGATCAATGTCTTTTGGTACAACATTATCTATATGGTTAACTGAAATAGTAGCAGAAGCAGCAATACCTTTCAGAGTGTAGTGAAAAGTAGAGAAGCATAAATCCAGAAAACCAACTGAGTGTTCAGCTCTGGAAAGTCCACATAGTGCCAAGATGAAGGACGACATCTTAACTCCACCTCTTGAGCTAGTTTCCTCCCTCTTCCACTGTTTTCCCCAGAGATCTTTAGAAAATGTCCCAGAAGCTATGGCTTATAGATTCTGTGGAAGCATCTTTCATCTCCATGATCATAGCAACATAGGTTTCCATACTCCCTGCCTCCTGGGGTTGTTGTGAGGAAAGCACTTTGCAAATCTTACGATGCTCTATAAATGTAAGTTATCGTGATCATAGACACTTCTAATGACCTTTCCATGATGTGTTTTGACTGAATTTCTCTTTTCTCCTTGTCCTTCTAAACTTGATAATATGCAGTTATAGATGGAATTGTGTAGAGAAATGGGCTAGAAGAGGAAAAGGAATGTGTTAGGAAAAAGAATCTGGAGACAGGAATGGCAGCAGTAAAAAGAGGACTGCTTGCTGGGGTTAAATTTGCAGTGATGTCTGAACCCAAAGAGCCAGCTCCAGGGCTAGTAATGAGGTCAGGAAGATCTATCCTTCAACTTGTGGTTTAAGGGCATTTTAATAAAGAGTGCAAGATGAAATGCCCTCTGAACTCACACTCAAAAGACCTCATGTCCTGGGAAACTGACAGAGAGTCAGTGAAACCTGAGACCCAGAGCTGGATCCTTGGCATCTTTTACAACTTCCCGTAGATTCTGGGATTCATTTGGCACCTCAGTGGCTGGCTCCTACTGCTGCTACCCCATAGGAAGGTGTGTCAGCATCCTTACTAAGACCTGGAGGCTTCAGTCTCCTTTACTTGACTATCGCCTCAGGAACATAAGTGTTTCTCATTTAGCAAGGTGCTGATAGATACACAGTTATAGACCAGAGTTCAAAGGCTAAAAAATGTCCTTTTTTGGTGTGAGGAGTACTTAGGCATTAACATTATCCAAGTTGGAAACCACTGAGTGGAGGAACCAGCATGCAAGATCCAGCTCTCTTTTGGCTTTACCAACAACCATTTGGTTCTACATTCCTCTCCTCCTCTGCTTAAGTCCAGGCTATTCATAGCTGATTCACCTCCAAAGGCCAAACTGAGTTGTTCCCCTCAATATTTTTCTGCTTCTTTTCCCACCTTTCCCTTCCATCTATCCTCTCCTCCACTTTTCCTCAACTTCTCTACTTCTCCCATCCACCCCACCATCCTTTCCCTAAATAACTCATTTCTCTGAGACCTGCCTCTTTCTAGCCTGCTTTTTTCTCCAGTGACACAGTTGGCTGATGTCAAGAAGGACATCCTGGCTCATTTGAAGAGTGTGAGATACAATCAAAGTCAAGAACTCATAAAAGAACTCTCAGAGTTTATACAAGTCCTCCAAAACATCAGTGCTGACATCCAGACCATTGCCAGGTGCTCTCAGAAGGTGGGCATATGGGGATATGATTCATAACCCAAAGACCTTCCAGGCTAGTGAGAAAGGCTCTGTCCCTGGCTAAATGGAACCTTGCTCCGATAGTGGTGTCCTTAAACAAGGCGAGTTCTTCATTTGGTGGTGGAAATGTAGATCCTGTTCCTTACCCTTTTATGAGACTGTTCCATGGGTTGGGGTCTAGAAGGTACTACTTTGTAGCAGTTAGGAAAGCAGGTAGGGAGTTCCTACTGAAGAAGAGGAACAGAGGAGGGGAGGGTGGAGTGTTGGAGCTGGCTGGAGAGGGCATAGGTCCTGATACTGAGTTGCTTGCAGCTGACAGAGGCCAATGAAAAAAGTGAAGACTTAGAAGAACGAGTAGAATATGTGCTTGCTCTCAGTAACCTTGTCCGATCCCACTTTGGCAAATTAACCTATGAGGATGAGGAACTGGAGATTGCGGTGAGAAAGGTGCTGGGCAGGGACTCTTCCCAGAGTTTGTCCTCTCCATTCCTTAGAGAAACATGGGATAGAATATGGGTTCCTCAGTGTCCTCTAGTCCCCCTCATCCATCTCCCTCCCTCCCCATTTTTTCCTTTCCCCTTCCCTACCTTGTCTCCCCTCAGGGCTCCCTGTGCCTCATTTCCTCCTGTTCTGGGTCTGTAGCTGCTAGATGTGTGGGAGACCTTCCTCTTTGAGCGGCTCCAGGCCTCTGAGTTCCTACTCAGCAAGCAGAGCACCTTGGTGCCCCAGCTTAAGGAGATGATAGCAGCTGCCCTGGAAGAAATGGAAGACCTGAGCATACAGGCTGTCTCAGGCCCCTTCATTGACCCCACCCAGGAGCAGCGCAGTATTCAGCGCCAGCTTATCAACATGGAGCGTACATATGTCTCTATTTCTGTCCGCCTTGCTGAGCTGCACCATGCCTATGTCATCCTAAGTGGTACAGAGTCCATTCCTTCTACTGTAATTCCCCTTGTCTCCCTCTCTCTGTCTCTATCTGTCTCTGTCTCTCTCTCTGTCTCTGTCTCTGTCTCTCTCTGTCTCTCTGTCTCTCTGTCTCTCTCTCTCTCTCTGTCTCTCTCTCTCTCTCTCTCTGTCTCTCTCTCTCTCTCTCTCTCACATACCCCTTCCCTGGGGAGAGTCAGGGGCCCAGAAGTACTTTCTTCCACTGCAGGGGATGAGAAGCCAGTGCCACTGCCTCAGAGAGGGCTCCAACCCATTTTACTTCAACAGCGTATCTGGCGTCTCTTTAGTCTGGTCAGTGAGCAAATTGCTGAATGGAAGTGTCTGGCTTTTAGTAAGGTATGGGTAGTTTTCATTCTAGGAATGTTCTATTTTCCACCCCTCCTCTGATTCAGTCTCCATCCATGTCCTCAACCAACTCCATCCACTCATAGTACAATTCTCACCATTGCCCTACCCCTGCCCCTGCCCCTGCCCTGGCCCAACTCCTGTTTCAGCCCAGACAATGGGTGATTGATTGATTTATTAGTAGTCAAGGTCTGGTGGGACCTGCTGACACGACATATCATCCTCCTTAGTTCAGCACCTCTTTCGCCTGGGAAAAGACAGATCACTGGTTGACAGAGGCTGCCAAGCTAAGCAGGTTATTCTTGGTGGCTAATCCTATAATACAAGCCTGTATGCACCTGCTGAAGGAATTTCGGAGCTATTTGCCAGTGCTGTCTATGTTGGACAACCCCCAATTGCAAGGCAGTGGCTGGCAGGCCATTTTTCGAGGTGGGAGAGAGGGTCAGGGGGTGGAGGAACAGTGATGTCCTGGTCACCTGCTCAGTTTTCTTTCAATTCTAGGGTTTGATCCCTTTCCTTCTCCTCTGGTTTGCTTCTGTCACTGCCCACTGGATATGGTGCCCTTTCTTTCCCCTAGTATATCCTAAGGTATCCCCCTGCTTCTTCAAGTTTATATCTCTACCCACATCCTCTCTGCCTGGTAGATGGGGCATCCCTCAAAGATCAGCTTTCCCCATGTGTTTCTTCCCTGTAGGAGAGAGCTGAGCAGGCTAGAGCCTGGGTGGTACCTCTGACCTACTCTCCTCCTTTCTCTCTCTAGCCATGGGGGCAGGCTGTCCTGAAAACATTGAACTTGTGACCTTGGGCCAGCTGCTTTCCTACCCCCTGCTAGAATACCGAAACCGAATCTCTCAGGTAGGACTGAGTTTAGGTTTGGAATAGAGATGGGGGTGGAGGTGAACAGTGCTTAAGCTGGAGAAAATCAAAGCTAGCTTGTGAAGTCTCTAAATGATTAAGTTCATAGAAAGCTCTGTAAATATGTGGGCCTCCCTTTGAAGATATGGGTAGAAAAAAAAAGCAGTATATTAGGAGCCAAGCAAGATGGGCTCATTAAGAATAAGAATAAGAACACTAATCTCATATCCTTTTCTGATAAAGTTATTAATTTGGTAGATCAGAGGAATGCCATAGTCCCAGTGTTTGTTAATTTCAGCAAAGCATTTATAAATTGTCACTTGATATTAATTCATTGGAAAAAATAATTGTAACACAAGGCTTTCTGGTTATCCCTCTGGGATAAGATAGCAGAATAAGAGGTTGAAGACAATGTAGTCAGATAATGAGATGTAAGCTGGTTAAACAATTGCATTCAAGGAATGTTGATTAATAGTGCAGTGTCAACCCAAATGAGATCTTCAATAGAGTGTACAGGAAATCTGTCCTTAGCCCTATTCTACTCCATATTATCAATATTTAGATCCAGATAAAGAAGGCTTATTTATAAAAATTTAAGATGACATAAAGCTGAGAGGAATAGCTAGGACATTATTTGGATGACAGAATAATAATGGTGATAAAAATGTAAGCTATATATTGCACCTTAATGTTTATAAAAGCCTTTTCCACCCACTATCTCATTTTATCCTCACAGTAGCCCATGTTGTCAGGGCAAGGGTTATTATCTACATTTTGTAAAATAAGAGACAGATCTTCAAGGTCTTCTGACTTCTGGCGTCCTGTCCACCATTGGAATACTAAACTAAAAATATCTAGGCAAATTTTAGCAGGGATAAACATAAAGTTATATGTGTAGGTTCAAAAAATAAATTGCGTAAGTAAAAGGTGGAGGTCATTTCCCTATGAAAAGTAATGATGTCTGCTTTGAATATGTTGAATTTCAGATGAATATGGGACATCTAGTAGGAGATATTGGACAAAAGCTCAGGAAACAGACTAGAGCTAGAGATAGATATACATATATAGATCTGTATATAGATACAGCTTATCAAAAAGTATAATACAATCTTAGACTATGTTAATAGAGATATAGTGTCCTAAGGGAGTGCTTTGGTAAATTTGTCCTAATTAGACCACATTCGGAATACTGTATTCGTTTCTCAGTACAACCTTTTAGGAGGTCCGTTGGCAAATTGAAGTATGTCCAGATGAGAGCAACTAGGAAGGTGAAGGGACATACAGGAAGTTCTGTTGGAAGAACTAGAGATGTTTGGTTTGAAGAAGAGAATATTTAGAGATGACAAACCAGCTTTTTTCAAATTTTTGAAAGATGTAATAGGGAATACAGGACAAATTTGTTCTGCATGTCCAGGAGTATAGACCTAAAAGCAACAGGTGGAAGTTATAGTGATTCAAATATCAGCCTCTTTAGGAAGAATTTCCCTGACAGTCAAGGCTGTCATTAGAAAGGGCTGTTTTATAAAGTAATGAGCTTCCTGTTACAAGATGTATCTCAGCAAAGCCTTGAATAATAACAGTCTGTATTGTAGAGAAGAGGCCTTCATTGGGAATGAGGTTGGGCTAGATGGTTTTAAGACCACTTTCAATGCTGAGCTCCTGTGATTCCAGATCTGGCTGAGTGAGAATGAACACCACCAAACTCAGCAGAGCCTACAGAAGCTACAACAGACTTGGGAGGGCCGACAGCTCCGTCTTCTCAACTTTATCCTTTGTGTGCCCTATGAGCCCCCTTCCTCAGAGCTCTCCAAAAGACATTCGCACAGCCGGGCCCAACTTCAGCAGTTAGAGATGGTGGCCAAGGACAGCGGTACCTATATCTTGTCTGGTAATGCTTAGCATTCCCTAACCCTGCAGTTGTCCTGACCAGGACATAGTCTCAACTTTGTCACATCCTTTAACAGGGAGCTCACTACCTTATAAAGCAGTCCATTCCATGGATAGATAGCTGTGATTGTTAGGAAATTCTTCCTAAGAAGACTGAAATTTGCAATAGGTAGATATGTGTCTATCTGTTGCTTCTAGTTTTTTCCCTCCAGGACCAAACAGAACATATTTCACTCTTGCTCACTCTCTGTCATTCCTGCTGTGGTAATGCATGGGTCTTTTCTCCAAGATTCTAGGAAGTTCTGTTACAGGACCATGCCACACTTTTTTGTTCTCCATTTTCTGCACTAATTTCTACCTTCTAGACATGACTTTTAAAAATATGTTGGCTAATTATTTCCTTGTGTATTAGCATCAATCTTTTTGGACAACTCCACCTTTCCTTCCCTTCTCCTCTCCCCCCCACCATTTTTCTTTGAGTCTTCAGAATTTCATTTTTCTGAACTTCTCATACCTTCTGGGTGGACTTTCCCAGTAAAATTTTAGATTATGGGATCCTATTTGTCCTTTCTCTAAACTCTTTGAAATCTTTTGCCCCAAAATCTAGCCTGCCTTTCAGACTATACTCAGCTTTCCTTTCCCTCTAGAACATGAATTCTAATATGTAATGGTAATTTCCGTCTACTTCTTACTGATATGCCTTTCATTTCTACTTTTGCAAAAAACTCTTCCTTTTTAATTGGAATCAGGCCCAGAATGAGAGATTCTTTCATTGGTTCCCCCCACACTGGAAGGGTAAAATTATCATTAAGGATAACTTCATTGTCATGTATTAACTTACATATTAACTTCTGCTTTTGGCACAGAGATCTCTTGCAGATATCTGGGCAACTGAAGTTGCCCATCATTACTGTAATCATGCCGCTGTTCCAGGTTTGTGAGTTCTTTTCCTAACTCTTTACCTCTTTCCTCTTTTTGTCTAGGCAGTCTCTAGTATATTCCAATAATAATGTTGCTTCTTTGTCTGCTTCCATTTGGTATTGAAAGGAAAAAGATCAATAACCAATGTCTTGAGTGCTTTGCTTTATATTGCCTTGCTAATCTTTTATCAGTCATAATCATTAGGATAATTAATAATAATAATTAGAATTATAACTAAATCATTACAAAGTGTATATCTTAAGCATGTGACCATAATAATCATGCCTGTATATTAATCTTTATATTAAAATGATAAATGAAGAAATCCTCATCAAAGGGCTAATTGAGACATCATGGAAATAACAAAGTTAGGATGTCATAAAGTTAGCACATAGTGACCTGCAAAATGCAATCTTGCATGAATCAGCTTCTGGAGGACTTTACTGCACCATAGATGAATCAAGAGACCTATAAATAACAGTGAATTTTATATCTTGGGGTCTCAGACTGTACTGGGCAGACTGTAGATCCCGCCTTTGTTTCTCTTAATAAAGGTTGTTTTTTTTTTTTGTCCAGAAAGGCTTTCCAGTTTCTTTTTAACAGTATTCATGTAAACACTCTCCACAGTTTGTTGACCCTTGAGTTTTTGGATTTCCTCATATGGACCTCTGTGTGTGTGTGTGTGTGTATATGTGTGTGTGTGTGTGTGTGTGCATGTGTGTGTATAAAAAAAACTCTCCTGTTCCAGTTTCCTTTGCTTGTCCTGTTCCTGTTGAATAATATATACCCATCAAGAAACATATTCCAATCATAGGCTCCATCACACCAAGTTTCAGTGATATAGATGATATCAAATTTGCCTTATTCATTGATTCAAAGAAGCATTTATTAAATGCCTGCTTTGTGCAGGTAACTGTACTGATTGACATCATAACTGTACTGATTGACATCACTATGTTGGTGTTAAGGTACAGTGTATCTGACTGTGACTGATTAGACCAATACAACCTTGGAATGCTCTACCACAAGTTGGGCACAAATGGTCCATATGAACTTTTGGGGTGGAGATGTTCCTAAATTTGCGTATCTCATGTTTCTTTTGAGCTACTGCAATTGTACTTCGCTCTGATGTGGGCACGCCATGCTGGGTGATCCTTTGCCAGCATCTTCCATGTCATGCCGTTGATTCCAAACCTCTTCAGAGAGACCTTCACAGTAGAGTTACCTCATTTCTTTTGACCACCATGGGAGTGCCTTTCTTGCCTGAGTTCTCCATAAAATAGTCTTTTTGGAAAACGTGTGTTTGGCATTTGAATGATGTGGCCAACCCACTGCAGTTGCACTCTGTGCAGTAGAGTTTGAATGCTTGGCAGTTTATCTCAAAAAAGAAATTCAGTGTCTGTTTCCTTCTCTTGCCTAGTGGTCTTCAGAATCTTCCTAAGACAATTCAAATGGAAACAATTCAGTTTCTTGGCATGGTGCTGGTATACGGTCCAGGTTTCACAGGCATACAGTAATGAAGTCAGCACAATGGCTCTGTAGATCTTCAGTTTAGTAGGCAGTCTAATACCTCTTCCCTCCCACACTTTCCTTCAGAGCCTCCCAAACACTGAGCTAGCCCAGGCAATGCATGCTTCAATGTATACATCTCTCCAAAGTATACTGCTAAGGTCAATGAACTTATACACAGTATTCAGAACTTCTCCATTTGCTATAACTTATGGTTCTACATATGAATGCTGTGTTGCTGGCTGGTGGAGAACCTCAGCTTTCTTGGTGTTAATTGTTAGCCAAAATTAGCACAAGCAGCGGATAATCGATTTGTACTTTATTGCATCTCAGCTTCAGGGGCTGCATAAGTGCACAGTCATCTGCAAACAAAAAATCCTGCGCCAACGCTCCCTCTATTTTTGGCTTGTAGCCTTTTCAAGTTAAATTCTTTACCATAAATGTGGTAGCTGACCTTAATCCTATTTTCGTCCTCATTGAAGGCATTCGTAACGTTGCTGAAAACATCATGCTAAAAAGTGTGAGAACAAGCACACGGCCTTGCTTCACTCCATTGGTGATTGGAAAAGCACAAGAGCATTATCTATTATCTAGAACATAGGGAAGCATGCTGTCATGAAATTGATGTACAATACTCTGGGCAACCAAATTTTGACATATTTTTCCAACTGTACTAGGTTTTAGGGAGAGATCTAATGTCTAAGTTAGACACTATTCCTGCTCAGGATGCTCATGGTATAATAGAGGTCAAGGAAATAAATGAAAAAAAAAAAGTGAAGGAAGGTAGTCTAGCCATACCAGATCTCAAACTGTATTATGAAGCAGTAATTATCAAAACCATCTGGTACTAGCTAAGAAATAGTGGTGGATCAGTGGAAAAAATTAAGAAGTACACAATACACATGCACAAATAGCCATAATACAAAATAGTCCATGAGAAGAGTAGTAGAGGTGCAAATTCTGTTCAGTTTGAAGAGGGCAAGATTATTTTAATTATTTTACAGGGTGAGGGAGGGGCGGTAATCAGGGACTACTTAACGTAGAAGGTAGTATTTGAGTTGGACTTTAAAACATAGGAATTTCATACCTTTCACCTAACTATGTGATTCAATAGCATTTGTGAAAGTTTAGCATAGAGATTACAAAATTCTACTGTTCTTATTGTCTGTTGACTATAAAAATATTTTATTTAGTTTAACAAAATACTTCTTTGAAATCCTTTAACTAGGTATATCTTATGTACATGTCAAAATCATACAAGATTCCTTGAAAGATGTAACAACAGAGACTATTTTGTTCTATAACTCTCATTAATAAAAAAATTCCTGAAATAGGAGAATGTATACTCAAAAAAGTGCTTATGACTATCTTGGAAGATGTTTATCACAGTCTAAAAGGAAGAGGGATTTTCTACAAGATAGGGGTTCCCAACTTTTTTGGTCTCTTTTTGCCCCTTAACTTTAAAAAACAATTTCCCCCAATTACACATTAAAATAATTTTTACATTTTTATAAAGTTTTGAGTTCCAAATTCCATCCATCCCCCCTCCCCGAGACAGTAAGCAATCCTGTATAGGTTACACATGTGTAATCATGTAAAACATTTAGATATTAGTCATTTTGTACAAGAAGACTTGAACAAAAAAAGAAAGGAAGAGAAGTGGAGAGAAAGAAGAAAGGAAGGAAGGAAATGAAAACAGTATGTTTCAGTCTGTATTCAGACAATATCAGTTCTTTCTCTGGAGGCAGATAGCATGTTTCATCATGAGTCCTTTGGGATGTTTAAATGTCCTTTAAATATTTGGTAGAATTCACTTGTGAATCCATCTGGCCCTGGGGATTTTTTCTTAGGAAGTTCCTTGATGGCTTGTTCAATTTCTTTTTCTAAGATGGGGTTGTTTAAGTATTGTATTTCTAATTCTGTTAATCTGGGTAATTTATATTTTTGTATGTATTTATCCATTTCACTTAGATTGTCAAATTTTTTGGCATATAATTGGGAAAATAGCTCCTAATAATTTTTTTTAAATTTCCTCTTTATTGATGGTGAATTCACTCCTTTCATTTTTGGTACTGATGATTTGGTTTTCTTCTTTCCTTTTAAAATCAGATTAACCAATGGTTTGTCTATTTTATTGTTTTTCCCCAAAAAAACCTAGCTTTTAGTTTTATTTATTAGTTCAATGATTTTCTCAACTTTCAACTTTATTAATCTCTCCTTTGATTTTCAGGATTTCCAATTTGTTGTTTAATTGAAAATTTTTTATTAGTTATTTTTCTAGTTTTTTAAGTTCCATGTCCAATTTATTGCTCTGCTTTTTCTCTGTTTTATTGATGTAAGCAATTAGAAATTTTCACCTAAGTACCTCTTTGACTGCATCCCATAAATTTTGGTATGTTGTCTCATTGTCATTCTCTTTAATGAAATTATCAATTGTTTCTATGATTTGTTCTTTGACCCACTTATTTTTTAGAATTAGATTATTTAGTTTTTACTTAATTTTAATGTATCTTTTTATTGCTCACTATTGAATGTAATTTTTACTGCATTATGATTTGAAAAGGATGAATT